ATATGTTTCTACCACAGAAAATTTACAAGAGAGTGGATTGTTAGGAGATACTCATGTTAGCAAAATGAAGGAATTTGGTAAAGGGTTGACAACAGCTTCTTTCTTCTGCTTTGAATTGCTTCTAGCCTTGGTACATGCAGCTCTGTATATGAGGAGTTAGAGCTCAACCAGTGTGAAAGAGAGGAAGGAGATCTTCTACGACCAAAGTTTGGAGCAGAGAAGGAGCTGCAGGAGAAACTGGGGGATATAAAGTGCCTGTTTTCCCCAGCTAGTGAAATGGGCCATGTTGTGGGTCTCAGCTAACTGCTGGGCTACAAAAAAAGGAGTAGGGATTGACAGCAGAGAAAATGTTGAGACCTGCCAGACTTCAGGCCACAGGTCTGACCACCCCCAGTCTGTTCAGATGCCTGCTGTGACAAGCTTCCCATGCAGCCTGCTGCCAAAGGAATGAGCACACTCTCCAACAATCCAACTTCATTTCCTTCTGGTATCCTCTCATATTTACACACCAACCTTGCCAAGCTTTGCTCAGCCCAAACAATCCCTCAGAAAGAAAAGGAAAAACAAAGGAACTCTTACAGCCTGTAAAGCACCTTCCTGCCTGCCTGAAACAAACCAAAAAAAAAGAAATAGTTCAGAGTGCTCTTCTTCCTCTCTTGGTTGCTCACTGTTTCCCAAGCTAATGAAAACCAGAGGCTGTGGGACTGACAGGATTATCATCACTGAATTCTCCAGGTGTTTCTCTCCAGTTCGTGAAGCAGGGAAGGGAAGAAGGGCAGGTACCTGGTTGAAGGGCTACAGAGGGTGACATGTTTCTTGATGTTCTTTTCTAAATGTGGCTCTGAGTCATGCAACAGTGTTGATTAGAAAAATTATCTTCCTGCAGTTGAAGTAGAAAGGAAAAAGAATCTTGTTTGGTGTTTGCTTCCCTAGCTCTGAATCCAAGCCTGCCTGAGCCTGTGGCTGGAAGGGGGCTGGTGAGCTGACTGGAAAACCTCTTGTCCTTCTCTCAATCATAGAAATTATGAAGAGGCTGTGAGAGCAGCCGCAGGAACAGTTCAAAATGCACACCTAAGGGTAACAAGCAGCCGTTGTCCCAAAGAGCAGCACGCACAGCCTTATATCAGCCTCCATTCCACAAGTTCCTACATGTGCTGGGTCAAACAGGGCTAACACAGTCCTTCCCACTCCATTGCCCTCCCTTGTATCTTCAAACTACACCCCAAAACTTGTTCCTGTGAGTCAGAGAGGCTGTGGCACATCCAGCCTCGTGGTGTGCATGACCACGAGGTGAAACAGCTCTGAAGGCAGGATGGCATGACTGAGGGAAGGGAGCCCTGAAGGAGCCATGAAACACAGCCAGCAGGTTGGAACAGACAGCAGCAGTGTGAGCTGGACCACGGGGCTGCAGCCAGCTGAGGAAAATTATTAATGGTGTATCTTGTCCCCAAGAAATCTGGTGGGGGTCCCAAAGATGCATCTTGTCCCCAAGAAATCTGGTGGGGGTCCCAAAGATGCATCTTCTCCCCAAGAAATCTGGTGGGGGTCCCAAAGATGCATCTTGTCCCCAAGAAACCTGGTGGGGGTCCCAAAGATGCATCTTCTCCCCAAGAAATCTGGTGGGGGTCCCAAAGATGGATCTTGTCCTCAAGAAATCTGGTGGGCATCCCAAAGATGGATCTTGTCCCCAAGAAATCTGGTGGGGGTCCCAAAGATGCATCTTCTCCCCAAGAAATCTGGTGGGGGTCCCAAAGATGCATCTTGTCCCCAAGAAACCTGGTGGGGGTCCCAAAGATGCATCTTCTCCCCAAGAAATCTGGTGGGGGTCCCAAAGATGGATCTTGTCCTCAAGAAATCTGGTGGGCATCCCAAAGATGGATCTTGTCCCCAAGAAATCTGGTGGGGGTCCCAAAGATGCATCTTGTCCCCAAGAAATCTGGTGGGGGTCCCAAAGATGCATCTTGTCCCCAAGAAATCTGGTGGGCGTCCCAAAGATGGATCTTGTCCCCAAGAAATCTGGTGGGGGTCCCAAAGATGCATCTTGTCCCCAAGAAATCTGGTGGGCGTCCCAAAGATGGATCTTCTCCCCAAGAAATCTGGTGGGGGTCCCAAAGATGCATCTTGTCCCCAAGAAATCTGGTGGGGGTCCCAAAGATTCATCTTGTCCCCAAGAAATCTGGTGGGGGTCCCCAAAGATGCATCTTGTCCCCAAGAAATCTGGTGGGGGTCCCAAAGATGCATCTTGTCCCCAAGAAATCTGGTGGGGGTCCTGCACTCCCCCTGTGCCCACCAGCGCTGAGCCTCACTCGGCTCCTGGGGCTTTCACCCCAAACCCCTGAGGAGCCTCTGCTGCCCTCCACCAGGCAATTCCACACAGGAGGGCGAGGAGAAGGGCACATGACTGTGATTAAAGTGGTTTATGGGGCTGCCATGTCATTTCTCAAGGTTTGGAAACACTGATAACGCAGTGTTTCACTCCTACGCCTTAAACCTGCTCCAGACTGAGGTCCTATGTGATTTTACCATCCACTGCTCAAATCACAGAATAGCTTGAAAGTCAGTGGAATTGGACTTAAAAAAAAAAAAATTCCCGGGGGCCACCTTGCTGCAGAGGTACCTGGAAAAAGCACATTTAATTTTGTGAGGTGTTCAGAGGGATACAGGGGCATACCAAGTGCCAGCACTGGTTTCCAAGCAAACACTGAACCTAAAGCTGTTAAAAATTCCAATTTTTTTTTATTTTTTTTAATATTAAAACAAAACAAACAAAGAAGAAGACAAAGAAAGGGTAAAACAAGCACACAAACGAAGCAAATCCCCCGCTGCCGCTGGCGGTGCCGGGCCGGGCGGGGCAGGTCCGTCCCCACAGCCCGCCGGGAGCCGCAGTCCGGGGCGCCGCCATCTTGGCACCGCCTCAGCACCGCCCCTGAGGGCTCCCGGCAGCCATCTTGGGGCGCGGGGCGGGCTGGGTTTTCGTAAAATTAAGTCGTTTTGATTTAAACAACAACAAGTCGTTGTCGTGTTTTAACCCCAGCTGGCTGCCGAGCACCACGTAGCCACTCACTTGCTCGCCCGCGAGCGGAATCAGAGAGAATCAGAAGGGTAAAAGCTGGAGAACTCCTGGGTTGAAAGAAAGTTTAATAGGGAAAACAAAGGAGAACAGGGCCCCATCTCATAAAATGGTGACATGGGAAGACAAATGCCATCACTGCAAAAGTCTCCCATTTTTTCCTCCTCAGCGTTTATGTCCTGAGTGATGTCAGATGGTCTGGAATATCCTGGCTGTGTCTCCTCCAATCTCTCAGGCACCCCCAGGCCCCTCCCCAGCTTGGGCCTGTAAGAGGCAGGAAAGGCCTTGGCTCTGTGCAGCTCAGCAATAACAAAAGCATCACTATATTCTCAACCCTGTGTTCACAACAAATCCAAAACACAGCCCCGTACCAGCCACTGGGAAGGAAATTAACTCTATCACAGCCACAAGCATTGTGCTGCTGTTGGCTTTGTGTCCGCTCTACCATCATATTTAGCTCAATAAAGGGCAGATTTTCCCTTAAAACTCTCTCCCAAAGGCCTTGCAGTGCTGTGCCAGCTGAGCCCCAGAGGATGGGGAAGCTCTGGGTCTTGTGCTGAGTGTCCTGGTGCCCTCATGGCTGGGACGTTGGGGCTGTGAGGGAGCTCGGGCTGTGAGTGAGGGGCTGCAGAGAGCAGAGCACGGCAGAACTGGGCAGGGAAGGGACACCGTGGGGTCAGCGGGACCTGGATGGGGAAAGAACCAAGAATGTGAAGGGTGGACATCAGGAAGAGGTTCTTCTTCCCCCAGAGGGTGGTTGGGCACTGGACATATTCCTCAGGGAACGGGCCCAAGGCTGCCGGAGCTCCAGGAGTGTTTGGGCCACGCTCTCAGGCACAGGGCGGGATTGTTGGGCTATCTGTGCAGAGCCAGGAGTTGGACTGGACGGCCCCTGTGGGACCCATCTCAGTATTTCCATGGCTCTGTGCAGGTGCCAGGGCAGCAAAGTCAGAAAGTGCTGCCAGGCTGCCCTGGAAGGTGCTGTACATCAGAATATCAGAACATCAGAGCAGTCAGGACAAGGCTGTGTGGGGCTGTGAGGCTCAGCAAGAAGGGAATGGAATGGTTTTGGGGACGTGTTTAATAGAGCTGCAAAAGGAAGCAGAGCTCATTCTGGGGCTGTTGGATGCTCTGCTTGGTGCCTCTGTCAGTGGAGATACTCCTGCTCCCCCCAGAGCCTGCTCTTCCCTTCATACAGCAGAAGGAATAATTTACAGTGCTCATCAGACTGCAACTTCAGGTGTTGTTTAGTTCCCCAAGGATTTAGGGAGAGAAATTTCAAGGACAGGCACTCAAATTCACTGGGTTTGCCTTGAGCCTGAACTTGACATCTAAATTTGAGTTCTGTTATGCGTTGTACTATCACACATTATAGCTCGTTCCTTAACACCAGCACTTATTTTTACAGCAAAAACCTCTGCTGTCTCATATCCTGCATCTTTTTATAACTTAAATTTAGCCAGCTCTTAAGCACAGATTTTTTTTTAAATAATTTATTTATTTTATGTCTGGATTTATTTTAGAGTAACGTAAAGAGATCCTTCCCTTGATCAGCCTCATGCCTTTATTCCAGGAAGGCAGGCCATCCCCAAGATCTGCTGGGTTGGTTAATTGCTCTGCACACACAAAGGGGAGCTAATCAGCTTTTCTTCAAGCATGTGTTCATATGTCAACACTTTTGCTTCTGTCAGAAGCTTAAAAATGGAAACAGTTTTCTCTTTAAGAAAACAGGACCCAAATAAGGAGATGGAGTGGTGAAGATTCCTCTAGTGAGTCTGTTCCAGCTCATTCCTTAGAAAGGCTGTGGATGGAGCACCGGGGAAGGGGCCAATAGATCTGGGTTTTGTCCAGGGGGCTCTGGGTTTAAAGCTCTCTAAAACCACTTGTAGCTCATTTTGCCTGTGACTTGCCTGGGTACAACTTCCATCTCTGTCCAAGCTGTTAAAAATCTAAAATTTTAATCGTAAGATTCTATTAGTTGCCTGACAGATCCAGCCTGTCCTTGAGCAAAAATGGAAGCCATCAAGAAAAAGATGCAGATGTTGAAGTTAGACAAGGAGAATGCCATCGACAGAGCAGAGCAGGCTGAGACGGATAAGAAGGCAGCTGAGGACAAATGCAAGCAGGTAAGAGGAAATAAAATCACTGGCTTCGTGTGTGCTGTGGAAATAAGTGTAACAAAATACTGTGTGGCAGTGTTGGGATTCAGAAAGCAAAGTCAGTTTTCTGTTCATCTTCTTTTGAAGTTTTTTGCCTTTTTGTTATGCTTCTACAGCCAGGACTAGGCTGTAACTTCTCAGCCATCTCGGTCTTTCCAAAATTAACATCATCCACAGATTATTAACAGTACTTTGTCTAAGTTTTCTTGAATCTTACATAATTGTCCTGAATTTCTCATGCTTTGATTCCATGCAAAAGGCCTTTACATATTTAAAATCAAAGCTGTAAACCCTGACACCTGTAGGACTAGTGCTAATAGAGTTGGCTGTGTCTAAACAGTAATTAAGCCTCTCCTTGAAATGAATTAATAAAGTTCACTTCAAGTTTTTGGTGCAGAGAGTGCCCCTTAGAGGTACCAGCTGAGACTCAACAGGAGATATGTTCTCTTATTTTTTGTGTCAAGAATAATGGAAAATATCTTAATTTGAATGCTGTTCTTTTAACTGAATTCTAACGATAACATTTTCATATTCTTTTGCTTTTCAATGTCTTTATTCTGGGTGTCTGTGTCCTATTTGAGCTTTAGTATTTCCAGAATGATCTTGAAATGTTAGCTGAGTGCATTCAAGTTTTTACAGCACTTCTTGTAAAAGTACCACATATTTCCCTTTTATGTTCCCTAAATCTGGCTGCATCTTCCACACTGCTCTAATATGTTATAAGCATTCATCTGGCCTAATATTTCTTCTTCTTTAGAAAAATAAATCTTTGATCTTACTCCTCTTTTCTGAATTGTCTCAAAATTTTCAGCTTCTTTTTTAATGTGGGCACAGTACTCAAATAGTTACTTTCATATTCATACACAAAGCCAGCATCTGCTTCATGCTGCTCAGTGTCCCTCTGTCAGAACACCCCAGCAAGGTTTGCAGTTCTCTCACCCTGCCTGGTTATCCTCTGCAACTCACCAGCATTCCAGAATAGCACACTACCAAAAATGCCTTTAAAACTATCAGTGAAACCAAAATGAAGGAAGCACACCAAAATACAAACTGTTTTCCTAGAGTAAATTTCAGTGAAGGTGGAGCTAAATGGAGAAATCAGTGTCTCAACAGACTGAGCTGGTTTGTGTTGCAAATGAGAGGATGAAGCAGATGGGTTTGCAGGCCCACCCTTATCAGCAGCAGGCCTTTGATAACGTGAATTCTTCGGGGAGCATGAGACAGTTTATCACTAACCAGCCTCCCAGCAGGTTATAAATAGCCCCATTCTAGTGAACAATATGGATTTATATGGCATGGAGGAGTCTGAGCCTCACATCGTGTCGGGCCACAGCTGGAGAATAATCCAGGCTGGAAGGGACGTCCCGAGGTCAGCGAGTCCCGCCTAGAGCAAGGCCAGCCCTGTCCCCTCCCACAGCCTCAGCTGGGCTCAAGTGTCCTGAAGCACACACAAACATCATGAATTTTTTCCAGCTGTACAGAAATGGAATAGTTTCCTGAAGAATCACCAGGTAATAGTGTTACAACAAACACTAAAAGGACATAATTTAAAAACATCTATAATTGCTGCAGGGTGTCAAAAAAAAAAAAAAAAGTGAGGTGAGAAATGGATTATAAGTTCTGTATTAAACCAGACCCTGTGTGTGTGGTGGCAGGCAGTGTTGTTCAAGGATGACACGTTTTTAATGATTCTTCCCTGGCAATTGCTACCAGTCATTCTCAGACTACTGTCACTAGCAGAACTTTGATCTGGTCTTTTGTGGCGTTTTGTATGCTCTAATGGGTTCAAACTAATAGTAAAGAGTAGTTTTATCATGTTAAACTGTACCTGGTACTACATCAGTATGCTCACTTTGGGGATTTTTTCTCTTGAAAGGTAGAGGATGAGCTGGTCGCTCTGCAGAAGAAGCTGAAAGGAACTGAAGATGAACTGGATAAATACTCAGAGGCTCTTAAAGATGCCCAGGAAAAACTGGAGCAGGCTGAGAAGAAGGCCACTGATGTACGTATCCACGGCCAACACTTGCCTGTAACTCTGCCCGCTGTATTTTGTATGCACTTCACTGGTTGTGTGCATTTCTGCCGGGGGATAGAAAGGCGGGGTTGCAGGTTTTAAAAGGTGCAGGGTTTCAATCTCCTCTCCCCTCCGCTAAAGGGAGCGAGGCTGTTCTGCACCGAGTCCGTGGCACCCGCAGCTGCCCCCGGGAGCCCGCACCGCTTGAGGCTCCCCCAGTGAGGGGACCCCGGGGACCTGCCGGGAATTCTTTGGGAAAGGAGAAATCTCCTCTGACAGAACTGAACAAAATGGTGCCTTTTGAAGGAGAATGGGACGGCAGCAGGATTATGCCGTGGCATAAGGATGCCCTTTGCCTTCATCCCCGCGCCAGGGCTAAAGGCCAGCCCAGACTCCCCGCCACACCCGCCCCGTCGTGGCAGCGGCGAAGCGCGGGCAGGGCCCGGCAGCAGCGTCAAAACCTCGCCTTGGGGGGCCGGGGAGCGCTGCTGCTGCTGCTGCTGCGGGGCGGCATCCTCCGGGCCGCGCCGAACCGGAACGAGCCGAGCGGGGCGGCATCCCCCGGGCCAGGCCGAACCGGGCCGAGCCGAGCGGGGCGGCATCCCCCGGGCCAGGCCGAGCGGGACAGGGCGGCATCCCCCGGGCCAGGCCGAACCGGGTCGGGTCGAGCAGAGCGGGGCGGAGCCGCATCCCCCGGGCCAGGCCGAACCGGGCCGAGCTAAGCGGGGCGGGGCCGCATCCCCCGGGCCAGGCCGAACCGGGTCGGGTCGAGCCGAGCGGGGCGGCCCCGGGCGCGCCCGTCCCGTCCCGTCCCGCGCCGCTCCTCAGGCTACGTCACCACCTCCACCTCCAGGCGCGTGACGTCAGCGGGCCATTGAAAGGCGCGGGCCCGCCACGTGCAGCACCTCCGCGCCCAGCCCGCCGCCCGCGCCCATGGCCGCGCCGAGCTCCCTGGAAGCCGTCAAGAGGAAGATCCAGTGCCTGCAGCAACAGGCGGATGAGGCGGAGGACCGCGCGCAGGTCCTCCAGCGGGAGCTGGACCTGGAACGGGACCTGCGGGAGAAAGTGAGACCGCCCGGGCTGCCTGCTCGCCTCTCTCGGTCGCTCTCTCCCGGGCTGCTCCTTCCTTCCTGTCTCTGGCTCTCTCTCGCTGGGGCGCGCCCGGCTCTTCCCCGCTGCGGGAGGACGGCTTGGCCGCCGGCTGCCTCCATCCCTGGGCTGTCCCCGCGCTGCTCCGCTCCGCTCCGCACTCACCGCCCGCGGGAGCCGCCGGCGCTGCCGCAGCGCCGCGCCCGCACCGGCCCGGCCCGCGGGGAACCGGGCGGCGGCGGCTCCTCGCCCGCCGCTTATCGCGCTTTGGGGCCCATTCCTGCGGAAAAGGCGTTCGAGCACCGATCGGCACTGGGGAGCGGTTGAGAGTTTAGTAGGAAATGGCTGTTTAATTAGGCAAAAGCGCTGCATGACACGGAGCGCGGAGTTCCCGCCTCTCGGCGCCGCACCGCTGGCTTCAGCACAGCTGGGAAATGTCCGAACTGCTGAAAAATAACTTTCCGTCCTGGTTTTCACAGAGAAATGCGAAATCTCCGCTAGCGTGCGGCTCTCCCGGGGTTGGACAGCTGGTTTCACTTAGATTTGTGTGCGATCAGCCTTCCCGGCATCTTCCTGCTATTTTATCACATGTCAGCGAGTTAGTTTTACCGTATAAGGACTGCGGGCTGCTGCTGGGAGAGGTGGAGCCAGGCTCACCCCAGATTCCCAGTGGCCCCGGCTCCATAACTTTGGAATCTTGCTGAATTAAAAAGTGACTTAAAAGCGCCCTGCCTAGTGGAAGGAGTTGCTGCCACAGAACAGATGCTAGCTTTGTACATGATCGATGCCTTGTATATAAATCGGGAAGTTAAACACTGCACTGGGTAAAAACAGATGAAACGTTGGATAATTTATGACTAGAGGAATCCTGGGTCAGCTTCCATTTGGATCAGCCACTGAACTCCTTTCCAAGATGGCTCAGAACTGAATGGAAACCACTTCCTCCAGCTTAGGAGTGGTCAGTGACCAAATTTGCTAAGCTGCAGAAAAACGGTTTTCTTTTTTTTCCAAAGTGTTTTAACATAAAGCATAAAACAGTCGCCCCTCCAGGGTCTATATTCTGTAAAAGTGAGGGGGAAAAAAGTTAATCTTGTATATGGCAATCCTCCTCAGAATGGGGGACAATGCAGTGCACAAGCCTGGCAGTTACTAAAGCAGGGTTCCATTTTCCTTCAAAAACAAGCAATTAAAGGAGCTGAATCTTAATAAACACATATTTATGGACACCAGTTTGTCCATGTTGTCTGCATCGAGCATTTCTTCCAGCAATCTCTCCCATTTATTAACTAGTCTATTTTTTATACACTAATGGTGTTCCAGTTAATGTGCAGTTTGTTCAATAATACACAAACAGATCTCATTACTGAGAAATGCATCCTGCCTAATTCCTTAAGTACCGCAGGAAGCAAAGTTTAACTTATTTTAAGAATCTATCTAATTTTGTCCCAAAAAAGCCTGACTCTGCCATGCTGAAGGCACTGTCTGTGCCCAGCTGACCCTGTAGATTCTCCAGCATCTGCAGGCTGGGGAGCCAGGGTGGATCAGGACCTGGCTCCAGCTCCACTGTGCCACTGAAACCAAGGGCAGAGAAACCCACGGTGGAGGTTTTGGAACTAAGCCATCATGGAAACGGTTCATTTTTAAAGTTTGGATAGATGCAGCCCTGTGAAGTGCTCCAAAAATACCCCATTTGCAGTCCTGTAGAGTTCCTTTTTGTGTGGCTGGAATGATAAGTGCCATTAAAAAAAAAAAAGAAAGACCAAGCACACACTCCATACCTTGACATTCCTGAGATGCCAGAGTTTGAGCAAACAAAAAAGCAGAGGCAGAAGGGCCCCCGAGCTGCCCTGCAGCCCCAGGGAGATGCTGCTGTAGTTGTAAGGACACTGATGAGCAAGGGCTGTGTAACCCCGGTGTGGGCCGTTGTTCACACAGGCCGAGGGTGAGGTGGCAGCTCTGAACAGACGCATCCAGCTCGTGGAAGAGGAGTTGGATCGAGCCCAGGAACGACTGGCCACAGCCCTGCAGAAACTGGAGGAGGCTGAGAAGGCAGCAGATGAGAGCGAGAGGTACGCTCCTTGTTGATTTTCTGGTGTTAAAAATGTTATTATGTGAATAAAACGTTCCTGTGTCATTGAGTATCTGCGTGTGCTGCTGCAGGTCAGAGACTTGAAACTTTCTTACAAGCTTGATTGGGTAATGATGAACACAGTGGGCATAATGGGCCACTTTTAGGTTACAAATACCAAATTCCACTTTGTGAAGTTGAGATTCGAGTGTCAAAATGCTTCTACGTTAAACATGCTTTGACTTCTGCAGAGGAATGAAGGTTATTGAGAACAGAGCAATGAAAGATGAAGAGAAAATGGAAATTCAGGAAATGCAGTTGAAGGAGGCCAAGCACATTGCTGAAGAAGCCGACCGCAAGTATGAGGAGGTAAAAGGGAGAAGGAAATGGTGAAATGTGCAGGGGAGCCATGAACAATAACACTGCTCTTCAGTTTAGTCCCTCTGTTCAGCTGGCACTGGGTGATGCTTCAACCTTGGAGCATTGCCAGCAAGGAGGAATTTTAACTGTGATTTGCAGCATCTTCAGTACCCAATGCTAAAAATGCTGCAAAATGTGACTGGGGAGGGCTGTTACATCTGTGGGTTTCTGCTTCAGCCTAATTTCCCCCCTCCAGAGGAAGCAGGAACAGAGTATTCAGAGTATTCTGAGTGCCTGTTCAGATATGTAGAGTGTCCCAGCCAGTGGCAGAGGATGGAACCTGATGATTTTTGAGGTCCCTCCCAGCCTCCCCAGCCCTGTGCTGTGATTTTGGGAGCTGCACACTCACTGACAAGTGGCTGCTGTCTTTTTGCAGGTTGCCCGTAAACTGGTTATTTTGGAGGGTGAACTGGAAAGAGCTGAGGAGCGTGCAGAGGTGTCTGAAGTGTGAGTAACTTTTCAGAATATAGGAAATATCAACACTACATTTCATTGAACATAATCTCCTGCTAGGCAGGCATGTAGTTAGTACTTGTAGAAAAGTTGGTTTCTACACTATATACCTGGTTTTCTTCTTTCTGACTTAATTACTTCCTCCCTTGTGTTTTTTAGACTCCTCCAAATCACAACAGGAACACTAGTAATTCAAACTTCTATTTTCCCTTTCTAGGAAGTGTAGTGACCTCGAAGAGGAGCTAAAGAATGTCACAAACAACCTGAAATCTTTGGAAGCTCAATCTGAAAAGGTTGGTTCTTTCAGTAAAGTAAAGGATGTGGGAAAAGCCCAAACTTGTACATAGAATTCATAGAAATAAACCAGAAATACAAAGCAAATGAGAGGTTTTATCTGCCTGCCTGTGGATACAACTCCATCAGTTCTGCCCAAACAATGCTGAAGGTCTGCAGGAGAGCACGGAAATGGTGTTTGCAGCTGTTTTAAAAGGAAGAGTGCTTATAAATAGGTCACAGTTTCATAAACATTTATTATTGTTGCTACAACTTCCCTTAAAAAGGGTTTATTGTTTTCACAGTACTCGGAAAAAGAAGATAAATACGAAGAAGAAATCAAGATTCTCTCTGACAAGCTGAAAGAAGTAAGTTTGGCCATCCCCAAGCTGGGTGCATTTTTGGGTATAATCTTTCTAGGAGCACCCAGTGATGCTATTTCAACTTTTTTAGGCTGAAACTCGTGCAGAATTTGCAGAGAGAACTGTTGCCAAACTGGAAAAGTCTATTGATGACCTGGAAGGTATGGAATGAATCGAGTTTCTTTAAAAGTGGCCAGTTTCAAATCAGATAACAAATTCTAGGAGTGGGTGGTGGATTTAATGGGAAAGAACAGCAGCATATTGGTGGATGGGTGTGATGTGTCCACTGGGCACCTGCCCTGTGTGGTGGAAGTTCTCCTGGAAAAGGTTTTCTTCCATAAAGTTGGCAACAATTACCTGATTTTGGCCAGCTAACAGGTGGAGGGACTCAAGGGATCTTGAGCTCACCCTATTTAATCTCCTTACTAGAAAATAATTGTGAGATTACAGAAAGACAAAAAGTTCCCATAGGTGGAACTTCTGACCAGGCAGCTTTGTGGGTGTTTTGCTTTCCTTCTGATACTCAACTATGCCTCTGTTTTCTTCTTTTGTTTTCCTCCCAACTGCTTTGGCTGCTGTTGCCTTTTGCCTCTCCGCTCTCCTCCTGTGGCCTCTCCTCCTCCCTGCATTTCTTGCTGGCCCTGTTGCTGCTGCCCTGGTGCCTGACAGATGAGCTCTATGCTCAGAAGCTGAAGTACAAAGCCATCAGTGAGGAGCTCGACCATGCCCTCAACGACATGACCTCTTTGTGACCTGCCCCTGTGTGGGACACGGGGAAACTCCCACTCACTGTGTTTTCTCAAGCTTTTCTTGCCTGTAATCCCTGTCACTCCTGTGCCACTTCCACCTCTGTGGGAACTGAGCTCAATAAAACATGATACCTCTACCTTTCACCTTGCAGGGTTTACTTCTGTATAGATCAGCTCAGATTCACTGGTGATGACACCAAAAACACATTCAGCTCCTCATGTGGGGTTGGGCAAGGCACGGTCAGGATGGGGCAGCACCTGGCTCTGGCAAACAATTGAGTTTTGGTGTTCCTTTAGTCAGTGAAAAGCTTTGAGTGCATTCAGTGTCTACTGGTGCTCCACCAGCCTGGTTAAAAACCTCCCAGTCCAAGGAGAACCCAGCAGGATGTGGCCTATAAATGACACAATGACACATTAAAACACAGGCCATTCACGTTCCATGAGAAGTGACCTCCCTTAAGGACAGCAATTACAAAAAATTGGCCCCATTTTGATGATAAAGGTATAAAGGTGTTTTAAATATGAAGGTAAGCTACCCCAGGTTTTATTTAAAGAGAAAAGGCTATAAAATAATGTGATTTCAATCCTGTGGTTTTCTTCTTTCTCACCAGAAAAACTCGCTCAAGCCAAAGAGGAGAACCTGGGCTTGCACCAGACACTGGACCAGACACTAAATGAACTGAACTGTATATGAGGGGTGCAGAGCTGACAGCAGCCACAGGAGCCGCCCTGGCCCTGCCCCGCTCCTCTCCTTTCTCTCTCTGTATCCTGGAAAAGCCAATTAAGTTATGACCGGCACGGCCGCCCCGTGGCTCCGGGCATCCCTGGGGCCGGGGAGCCCCGCGGGGCCGGGCCGGGCCGGGCGTGTCCGTGCCCGGGCTGTTCTCACGGTTCCTTGCCCCTCCCCTGTACACCCCGGTAGAAGCTGCACCCGAGCGGCGGCGCCGCCTCCGCTGCCGTTTCTTATTAAAGGATTTCTCACAGTACCGAGGCCTCGTGCGGGTTTTTGTGCCGATCGGGGGGCGTGACGTCACGGTGCGGGCAGGTACGGGAATGACGTCATTATGTCACTGCCCGGCCTCGCCTCTCTGTAGCCGGAAATGACGAAGCACCGGCGGTGGGGCCGACAGCCAATCGCAGCGCCGCTTGCACCCGTGTCAGAGCCGCCCGCCAATGGCGTGCCGGCTCCGTGCGCTCTCCGCCGGGCTGGGCCAATGAGCGTGTGGTGGGCGGGGCCGGTGCCCACCAACATGGCGAAGACCTACGACTACTTGTTCAAGCTGCTGCTGATCGGCGACTCGGGCGTGGGCAAGACCTGCGCGCTGTTCCGCTTCTCCGAGGACGCCTTCAACGCCACCTTCATCTCCACCATCGGTGAGCGCCGCCCGCACCGCACCGCGCTCCCGCGCGGGGATCGCCCGCGGCGCCGGCATCGGCGCGGGTTCGCTGCCGCGGCACCACCGGGCCCGGTTCGCTGCCGTGGCGGGCCCGGTTCGCTGCCCTGGCGGGCCCGGTTCGGGCCCGGTTCGCTGCCGTTCCCTGGCGGGCTCTCCGCACGGGCTCCGTGAGGGGCCGCTCCGGCCGGTGCCGGGCAGCGGCGGGCAGGGAGCGCTGAGGACGGGACACTGCGCAGCAGAATTGAGGGCAGAGCTGCTGGATTTGAGCTTTCGGCGGGAGCTGTGAGTAAAGGAATTGGTTCTCCTTGCAGGAATCGACTTTAAAATCAGAACGATAGAACTCGATGGCAAGAGAATCAAGCTGCAGATCTGGTAAGGCTCCTCTGCCGCTGTGTGCTGTGCGTGGGGATGTGTTCGGTTCTCATCCGCTTGTGCTGCTCGGGGGTGTATGGTATTTTAGCACTCAAAAGGCAGTTCTGAAGACTGGTTTATTTATCTAATTTATGTCCGGCTCGTGGCGGTGTTAGCGGAGCTGAGGCGGAGCTGTTGTGTGTGTTGCAGGGACACGGCCGGGCAGGAGCGGTTCCGGACCATCACCACCGCCTACTACAGGGGAGCCATGGTAGGGGCACAGCCGGGATCCTGGGCTGGGCCGCACGAACCCAGCTGGCTCCGGAGCCCTCCCAGCACGGGGCTCTGCCAGGCTGCAGCTCCCAGCTCTGCTGCTGCTCCGGGGGCTGCTGGGGCTGTGCTGGGATGTGGGATAACCCCTGTGCTGGGCTTACAGATGGGGTAACTGAGAGGTGTTTGAAAAACTTCTATTCCATTTTCAGTCTCGTGAAATACAGACACTAATACAGAGACAATACAGATGTTATAATTCACGCCATCACAGTCAGAAGCCAACTATTTCCTAATTACAATACACTATAAGTGGTTTTTGGCTTATCAACTTTTTACCACACCACATTATAGATACCTTAAAACCAATTATCTAAAACTACCCCTCATAGGTCCCACTACAATATATCTTTCATAATTCTATTTCTCCAAAGTATCTAGTCTTATTTACAAGACCATCATTTGAAACTTTTTTCTAGTTCCATTTCTCTCTCAACAATACCTGTTCTATTCTGTAGTATTTCTAAGTCAGCATTTCTTAGCTCAAAGTTTACATGGGGATGCACACTGTGTGAGTCTTCTGTCTCTACAAATCCATTTCCCACCTTGGGACAATCCGGGACTTTGCAAAGGCAGCTTCCCCATGTTTCACTCTATAAATACATGTCCTGCACACCTTGTCTCACTGCCATTAGCTGGGATGTTAAAATTGTTAAAAATAGCCCCTGTTAAGCTGCTCCTGTCTGCTGTGGATAAACCTTTAACTAATAAACACTCTTTCTTTACCTTCAGGGCATCATGCTAGTGTATGACATCACCAATGAGAAGTCTTTCGAAAATATTCGGAACTGGGTGAGGAATATTGAAGAGGTAATTTCTCTCTTTACTCATTACTGACTGTTAAAGGTGTCATTTCTTCCTCTGAAAGTAATTAAAGCTGAATTGCTTCAGAAGAGTTCCATTCTGTCATGTGCTGCAGGGTACTTGGAAGATAAGTGGGAGGGAAGTCAGTAATGGTTCTGGAATGCCTTGGCTGGTGGTGATTTCTTGGGAGGGCTGTAGCCCCTGTATTTCTAGGGGCACCTAATGTGACAATTTCCTGCCACAACAAATGATCCAAGAACTGCCATGGTGCAGGTGACATGCTGGGAAGAAGGGTTGGGGGAGGCTGGAAAGCTGTGGAAGATGCTCAGGACTGGCATCTCTGTGTTGGGCACTCAGTGGGTGCCTCACCTGCCTGACAATGTGTGGCTGCAAAAGCCAAGCCCAAGTTTCTGCTCTGTGTTTGTCTCAGCACGCCTCTCCTGATGTTGAAAAAATGATCCTGGGCAACAAATGTGATGCAAATGACAAGAGACAGGTCTCCAGAGAGCAAGGGGAGAAGGTGAGTGCTGTGGCTTCTGTGTGCTTTGATTTGGGCTTTTCAGAGTGTAAAAGCTGCCCCTGCTGATTGTGTGGGACCCAGTGGTGCTCCTGAGTGAATGAACATTCCCCAAGCTGCCATGGCAATGCTTCCCCACTGGGACCAACAGCAGAACCTGTGTTAAGGGTTCAGTTATCTCACAGATACAGTGGGACTTCTCTAAAAGGATGCTGGAGTTGGACATGGAGAAAATGTCTGTTTTGGCTGAAAGCCACTGAGACAAGGGAGATGGGGTTGTGTTTTCTGATCTCAGATGTTACTGAGTCAAGGCAGAGGTTTTTTCTGCACTGTGGTTGTTGTGAGACTAACAAGGTATCTATGCAAGAAAGAAATAAAAAAGAGCAAGTGAAAACATGTGCAGAGTGTAAAAGAGCAGAGCAAAGCCAGTGAGAACAGATGCCAATGGCAGTGGGATTTAGTTCCTAATTTTTGCAGATTGTTCTGTGTGAGTAAATCCCCAGCCCCACTGGCAGCAGGGACAGATGCTGTGCCCAGGGCTGTGTTTGGAGCTGTTCCTGCAATTGTTCAACTAATGTGCAATCTGCTTCTCTTCAGCTTGCTGCGAGTTTCGGGATTAAATTCATGGAGACCAGTGCAAAAGCAAACATAAACATAGAGAATGTGAGTACTGCTGCCCTTGCCTTGTGTGCCTTGTCCTCTCTGTGCAGAGCAGCACTGTGGGCAGCTGTCCATGGGGTGCAGAACTGCAGTGCTGCCTACCACACATGGCTTGTTCAGCACTGGGCTGGGGCTGGCAGTGTGGCTTGGGGGCTCAGAAAGAGAAAGGAGGTGGTGGAGCTCGAGAAGGAGCATTAAAACCTGGAGCAGAGGGAAAAATACTGAAAACTGAACTTTCTTGTATAGCATGTCAAACCTGGGAAGGCAGCTTATTGCTATACAAAACTGTTAGAAAATGTTTTCTACCCTGTAACACTGAAATGTTGGACTTGTCACAGGCATTTTTCACTCTTGCAAGAGATATCAAAGCAAAAATGGACAAGAAGTTGGTGAGTAACTTTGATTTCATCCATGCTGGATTTAAATAGGAAAATAAAAGCAAACCAAAAGCCACATTGCAAGAACTGTTTCACACTGTATAAAAAATGTGTCACAGTCTCTTTTATGAAGGATCCCTGAAAGTTCTAGAAATGTATTTTTAGTTTGTCAAGCTGTGCTCTGATGTTGGCTGTCTCTGCATTTCAGGAATTAGCTGCAATGGTTGAGGTTTTCTAAATAAACTTATTTGTTTTATCAAGAGTCAGTTGGGGGGTAGAGCAGTTTAATGATACTTCTCACTCTTGCAGTCTGAAAATCATATAAATTAGAGGTGGAGGAGGCAGACATCATACTTCAGGGTAGAAACTTCAAACTGTTTAAGAATAGGTAAAGAATTAATGGTTTTGGATAATCTTTGCACGAATATCCTGGGCAACAATTGGGTTGTCCTTTTACAACAAATAAATGCCCAGTGGTGTTGGATTGTTCCTTAAGGAATATGAAATGAAGCTAATGAAGGCTCTTTCTACTCTTCCTGGTATTTCCACCTTCATGTGGAAATGAACAGACATGAGCTGATGCTGTGGGATATTTTGGGTCTTGCTGATGATTCCTAAACCTTCCAACAAGAGCCAGACATGCCCTGTAATTTGTTGGTTTTTAGTCTCAGCTGTCTTTGAGTTGATGGAAGCTGAGCCACAAGCACAGTGTGAGCTGCTTGAAGCCAAAAGGTGCAGATGCAGTTCTCCAGTTTTTTGTCATGGCTGGTGTAAGATAAATGAGTGAAGCTCTCACTGATTGTGGGAAGGGTTCTTGTGTGTGCCAGGCTTGGTTAGGAGTGACCAGATGAAGGATGGATGGAAGAATCTGTTAAGTATAAATAAGTAACTGGATATTGTTTCCATCTTCAGGAAGGCAATAGCCCTCAAGGCAGCAACCAGGGAGTCAAAATCACACAAGACCAGCAAAAGAAAAGCAGCTTTTTCCGATGTGTTCTTCTGTGAGGGACATGGCCTTAATCCGAGCTGGACTGTGCCTGTGCTAAGTGAGGTTTCCTCTTTCTGTGGACTTAGTGCTCCCAGCATACCTTGTCACTCTGTGACCATCTGAATAAGACATGGCTTATTTTGGTAATTGCCTGACTCTTCAGTTTTGGAGATGGAACAAGTTTATTTTGGTCAGATTGCCACTGGGCATGTGTATTGTCTAGCAGAGGAAGGACAGATCACGTGTGACCTGGCATGCAGCACCATTGCTTCAGTCTTCATTCGTATCTGCCACGTATCCCGTTGAGAAAGATGAGGTTGGGATCAAAATAAGAAACTGAAATGCCACTGTTGATGAAGTCCAGGTGTGCACAGATGGTACATGTGCATATCCAGTGTGTAGCTGCACACTGAATAGTGGCACAGGACCATCCCAGAAATGCACCAAGGTGAGCAGTGCAGGCTGATGCCTTCCCAGGAGGTTGGAGGGAGCTTTCTGCAGCTCCACCTCTTTACTGCTACAGAGAAACTCCTTTATCTGCCTGGCTCTCACTCAGCTCTGTTACTCTAGACAATCCACAAGTACAATTGATGTTTAAAAAAATTCTCCTCAGAGGAATCTCTATTTTTTTAAAAAAGAATGTGTGCTGTACATAGAATGGGTCCTTACCATTGGTAATTCATCCATGTTAGACTTGACTGTGCTTAATTAAGTACTGCAGGCATTCAGAGGTGTTTAACAGGAGCTGATGGCTACACTGAGTGCTGTACAGATGATCTGTCATCTGTTCTTGGAGAACAGGGACACTTACACAAACCTGTCACCTTACAGTGGGTGGCTTTACCACTCTCTAGCTGGGAATGACTCCAGGCCCATGATGACAGAGTAGGTACTTTTAAATCATGGCAAGGAAACGACTGCACTGCTCCCAGTCACGTGTTCTCAAGCACTCCTGCTCACACATGCAAATAAAGTTGCACATCAGAACACTTTGAGCAGAGGCTCTCTCGTGCTGGGTGTTGATCACTGCAGCATCAGCCAGGCTGTGTTATCATCCCCACAAACCCAGGCCAGGACATTGCCAGGTGTGCAAGGCCAGAGCCAAGCACAGCCCCTCAGTGGTGCTGCTCCCAGGGCAGCACCAAGCCTGGCCCTGGGTCAGACTGGCAGGAGGAGCAGCAGCAGCACTGGGTGCTGCCCAGGGGCTGCAGCCATGGTGCACCTGCCCAGGAACACACAGCTGTGTCCTGCAGCTCACTGGAACTGAAACAGGCCTTGTTTACATTGACAGCTGCATTTAAGGGTAAAATCCAAGTTGATTTTGAAGTTGTGGAATTTATTGACCAGTTTGGTTTTCTTCAAGTTTGTGGTATTGAAATTGAAATTGTGGTATTGAACTCTGGGCCTCAGAGTAGCACTAATAAGTGTTGCTGTGGTTAAATACCTGTTGGATTCACAATTAAAACTGTATAAATCTGCAGCATGCAATTGGGCCCAACAGGAATTCTGCCTGTTCCAAAATGGGAAAAGATTTCACTCTCCAAGTTGCTGGTTTATAGAAATGCATTTTAGATGCATTTAGATGATCTCTGTCCTGATGAAAGCTTTCCTCTAACCAAAACCTTATGATGGTTTGGTTCTTTGTTTACTTGTGGCTTTTTAGCATGAGGACTTGATGAACATGCCCTGTAGGGGATTTATACATAGATGTAATTGTAGGATAAAACCATGTGAAGTTACTGAGGAGGCTTCTAGACAGAGTGTGGTTAACACAGACCTGTGGACTGGACAAGCAGCACCTCTGTCTTGAGCTAAGGATGTTTTTTTAAAGAGTTTTTGTGTGCTTCAAGAAATGATGGAGGCACAACTGGGGTGGTGATAAGCCAGGCTGAATTTCCTACATTACTCTGGAACAATTTGCTTCTGGCTTAGTCATAGCTGTGGATTGTCTTGCATCTGAATTGTGCTTTATACAGCCAGATGCTGAGCCAGATTTATTTTTCAGAGTGACTGGAAAAATTGGTGTTTATCTGACTTGATACCATGGGTCTGCCATGATGCTGGTTCTTGCCTGTGGACTGTATCAATAACTCATCCCAAGATGGGAAAACAAACCATATTCATTTACCAGTGGGTAAAACCTGAAGGATGCTATTGTGATTTTTCACTCATTTTCTAAATCTGAAGTGACTCTTGCATTCAGAATTCTTTGTATGTGAATCCCTTCTGTTTAAACTTATGCTGGTTGTTTGTTGCATGTGTTTATGTATTGAATTATGGCATTGTTTCCTTTGAAGTGGTTGGGTTTATGAACAACACCATTACTGCTTGATCTCAGGAAGCCTCATGCAGTGACTGTGACCACAGTCATCACTGTGCTTCAGGGTATGAAGGCTCTACACAGACCTAAATCTGTGTAAGCAACATGAAACCTAAAATGCATTTAGGTAAGAGAGGAAAAGGTTCAAGACACTGCACTGCACATGGGCTTAGCTGTGTGTCACTAAACAGGCATCAAATCTAGAAGTACAGTGTGTTTCCATCACATCATTCAATTACTGTGTTTATTAAGTATGAATGTAATGGGAAATGCAATTGTCACAGAGGTACTCTGTAAATACATACTTAATCTACTTGTGTCTAAGCTTTCTTTAACTAAGGAGGAAAAAAGCAGAAATTGGGTACAAAACCTGTAAAACTGAGGAATTGAAGTAGGGCTGCAAAACTTAACTGTGCTTACTACACATTCTCAGTGTCTGAATACCACTAAAATGTCAAGTAATTGATTAATTACCATTTGTTTTGTAGAGAAACAAACCCAATTTTGAGCATGTCCTCAAATTCCCTTATTTCAGTGAGTATCATGGAATTCTGTGGTTGACCTTGTTTTTGAGGCTGGTTGCAGTGCATTGCAGTCTCCTTGTCCATAAATGGTGGAGCTGCTTTCTCACACTTCCTTAACACCTGTGTTATCATTGTCCTGTGCTGACAGGCACAGCTCACGTTCCCTGACACCAGAACCTTACACCAGCTTCAGCCTTCCAGCCTCAGATTTATAAATCCTATGGATTATTGTAAGTCTCTTTACTGCTGCTGAAAATGATTTGGTCTCTCCTTTCCTGTGAGATGCTGATCATCTCCCTGATGATTGCTGAGGGGTTCTTGTGGTGCTGTGTTTGGCTGATGATCATGCTCAAAACTGCCACGATTTCTTGTTCTCTTGGGCTGGCAGGGGATTGCACAAGCAGCTGTGTGAGGATGGGCTCCTTTGTGCTTGGGGAAGAATGATGACCAACATGTGTCTGCAATTGTAGCTTAACTAAAGATTCTTCAGAGGAATGTCCATGGTAGCTGCAGTCTGAGTGTGCCAGGCTGCCTGATTCCCTGCCCCATCCTTCCTGCTGCCCAGAGTTTCTGTGGTTAATAAAGGTAACTGGCTGGTTAACTGCTCTCTCCAGCCTTTCTGCAGGAATCATTGCTCTGCATTGAGTGTGACTTGGGACTTAGGACTTTGTTTGAAGGGAATTTAACACGTCCCCAAATTTGTAAAAATAACTGTAAATTGTATTTTTGGAATGATCACTTTTGGCTGCCACCCTTCCCACATTACAACTGCTTTCTTAAACACTTCTCATTGATTTTCATGTTTGTATTAAAACAAAGCTGTTGTTTATTACATGATGTCTGTTTTTACTCTCTTGTACAGGACCCTAAGTACTGCATAAATAAACTTCTTATGAAAAGAGAATTTTACAAACTTAAGTTTTCAGTCCTATTCATCATTTGTGCGTAGGGACCCTGGTGGATGTGGAAAATTGGGAATTTCTGAAAATGGAGAAGATGGACAGGACCTGGGGTAGACTCTTGTCTCTAAACTATGCTGACTTTTTCATTGTAAATCCTGCACTGAGGGAGAATACTTCAGGAATTTATTTATTGGACCATTTACTAAGACCATAAATTATCAGAGGAGTTACTTATATTTTTGAAACTAAAGGGATTTTTTTACTGGTTAAGGCATTTTTGGGTGAATTTTTAGAGGTTACAGTTTGATACAAGTCTCTTTACTTCCTGCTGGTATCAAATCCTTCCCTTCTGACTGTCCAGGCCAGGTTTGCTCTGGCTGAGGGTGGGGAGTAGACATTTTGCTAAATGACAGGGAAATCCTGATGAAGAGCTTAACAAATCATTCCTTTTAAAGAGAGAAATGAAAGACAGTTCTCTGAATGGTTCAGTTACCAAAGTTGTCCTCTGTTATCTTGTGCTCTCCTGGCTGGTAATGTCAGGTGAAGTCATAGCAGCACTCCCATCCCCGTGGTTGACAAATTCAGATTCGAATATGAAAGGTGCTGTTAAAAAAAGGAAGTCATGATCACTCCTGCATCCCTGTTTAAAGGATTTACTCCAGGTAATTGTAGGGCTCTGTGATAAACTGGAAACTTTATTTTTGCAAGCATTTGCAAAGATGGGGTACATTAAATAAATGCAAGGTTTGAGTGCTGGTTTGTGTAAGATGTGCATCAGAAACCACATTAACATTACACATAAATGTATGTAATCTCATCCATTTATCAATGTGATACATTTATCAAAGTGCTGATACTAACTTTTTCATTTACAAGGACCTTCTGTCCTGTAAAAAGCACTTTGGAAGTTCAAAAGCAAGTCAAGAAGCCTCCAGGCTTTTTCAAGCATCTCTTTTTGCAGTGTTTGCAGTGGGCAGCTCTACTAGAGCCTGCCACAGGAGAGTGGTGGTCTGCAAACACACACTTCAGAGGCTTCTGACAAGGAAACCAAGAGGATTTTGTGCTAGAGATTAAAAGCAAATGTTACCTGAGGAAATCTGGAGCTCGTACAATCATGTGCTGGAAGTCTGCCAAGGACAGCTTGCCATCGTTGTCCACATCAGCCTCGTAAATCACCTTCTCACACACCAGGCTGACTTCTTCTGGGGTCAGCTCATTGCGGGTTAACTTGTTAACAGTTTTCTCTAGGTCTGATTTGCATATGTAATCGTCATTGTTGAAGTCTGACAAAGGAGACAAAGTTAATTTAAAGTGACAAAAGTCAGCATTTTACATGGTTGTTTGCCAAGACCCAATAGAAGGGCTTGGTTCCCAGGCTGTGATGAATTTTCATCAGTAGAGTTCTCAAATCAGAAATGAAGTTACCTCCATCTATTTGTGAAAGAAATGAGTTGCAAAATAAAAATATCTTAATTTCTCCTTTTCATACATCAGGGTAACAACTGTAAGTGGTTTAATGGCTAAACATAGCCTAGCCATCATTAAATCATTCCAGCAAGATTATGTTGGTCTGATACATTGTTTGTCTTTAGCTGATCATAAAATAACTCTAAATATACATTAAAAAAAATCTTTACATTTGTCTTTGGAGAAAAAAAGCCTGCAGTGTTCTTCCCTACTTTGTCCTCCCAGATCCACCCTACAGAGTCATGGGGAGCCAGATCCCCTGTGCTGTGCTGTTCCAAGCAGCCCCTCAGACAGAAATATTTCTGAATGTTTATCAGCTCTTGAAAACTGCAGATAATTTCAAGTCGTAAATTTGGCAGTAAATCTTAATACCAAATAAATTGGAGACAAAAGGATAAAGAAAACCAGAAGTTTTTAGAGGAGGGAGAACAAACATTCAAGTGCAGTTAAATGGTACCTAGAAGTCATTATGCTGACAAAGCAAGGATTTTTGCAGCCCTACACGAAGCTGCAGGATTTCCCCACTTACTTCTTCTGCATGTCTCACTCACCATAAATTTTAAAAGCATAATAAGCTTTCAAGTCTCGGGGAGCCATTTCACTTAGCACAGAAAACATGTCCAAAAAATCCTCCAAAGTCATGTTGCCGTCGCCGTGCTCTGAGAACACCTCGGCTATCCGCTGCCGGAAGGGGTTGTCCTGGGAAACAGCACAGGAGCAGGGCAAGGTCATCCCTACCAGCATTGACTCCACTGCACGTGGAGCGAGATTATTTTTGTGGAAACACCTTTTTGGCAATTTGTCCCCTTTCTGCCTCGAAGTTCTTGTCTAATGCTGCGTCAGGAGCAGACACAGCCACACCCGGTTTAACCTTTGTGCTGTTTTCTGGGAATGACTAGAAGCTTCCCGAAAGACTTTTTTACTTTGATAGCCCAAATTAATTTCCGTGGCAGCCTCCCAGCAATTAGGCCTGGATGAATTATTCAGGAAGGGTAGATGAGCCTGGCATGAGTCACTCGAGTCGTGTGCGGGTACCTTGAGCTCTGGCATGCTGCCGATGAGCTCGTAGGGCAGTGTCACGGCCGGTTTGTCCGAGTAGTCAAGGGGAACGAGCTGCGGGGCCAGGTCTCGGTACCTGTGGAACAGCCTGGGACAGAGAGAAAGGCTTGTTGGCTCTTGAGACTTCTGGCAACAAGCTGGTTTGCTTGTCCACCTCATTTTTCACCCTCTGCATCCGTTACCAGACACTAAGTTACAGTATGTTTTTGTCGGAACAAGCCTTATTAAAACAAGCGGCAAAGTGTAACTGGTGAAAAATCCAAAGCTTCATTACAGAACTAAAATCTTACACAGGACATGCAGCCAAACCTTCAGGAGAGGAAAACAAGTTCGTGTTTTCAGTGAGGACTCTCAGTCCCACCTGATCCTGCCTTTATCAGATCCTTTGGCCAGAGATGAAATAGGGAGTTCAGTGAGGCCTGGGAAAAACGCGTCTTGGAGGAGCAGTGTAATTGTTTACAAGAAAACATGGAAAAAACTTGACACAATCAGCAAAGTATTCCAGAGGATAACAGTACAAGGATAACTTTGAAACATCTGTCTGAAAACCCTGTGAGAGAACTGTGGATGTCGCTGCCACTAAGATGTAATTCATTACATTTATTTCTAATAAATAAAGAGGGACTAGTACATTAATATAAAATTTAAAATTCTGACTCAGTTTAGGATAGGGTTTGTAAATTAAAAAAAGCCACCAAAAAAGCTCAGATTGCTCCAAAGTATCAATTTAAATTTGAATAAATCCATTTAAAAATTATTTTTTAAATACATTACCCCATATGTAACCTGCCTTTACAGCAATCTCTGTCCTTTATTCACAACATGCATACAGAAGACTCACCTCAGAATTTCTTTCCTTGTGAAAAATGTGCAGTCCTATAAAATAAGAAAAAGTGTAACACAAAATGACAGTTTTTAGCATGCATTGGCCCAAACTTTTCCCATGCAATGACTTAAATGAAGTTATACTGTAGTATATGTGTAAGCCTTAAAGATTTCTTTTTGGCATACAATTAGGCATATCTTATAACCCTTCCTTTTGATGTAAAAATCAAACTATGCTCCTAAAATCTTTGCTGCAATCCAAACTGATTTTCAAAAGATGTTGTTTTAAAAAACCCAACAATACCTTTACCATTATTCAATGTCTTGCCCAAACAGCCATTTAGTTTGCTTTATACCTGATATGCATCCAGTTGCTCTTGAGTGAAAATGGTTTGCTTGTTGCCCATTTTGAGCTGGGAATACTGACTCTTGTCAGTTCTTTCCTCAAAGGCACCTTTAAAGGTCGTCTGGATATTCAGTTATTAAAAGCTGCAACAATGAGGCTCAGGTACAGCAGAGGATCAGGTAACCAACTTCTCCAGGCTGCAAAGTATCATAATAGGAGCATTTCATCAAATCTTTAGTCTGGCTGCTTGAGGCTCTTATCCAGCAGCATTCACCCGTCTCCTGTGTGCACCACGAAGACTCGGGTTACAGGATTTAGCCAAATAACTAAAAGCTGCTCATTAGTGCCCTTCAGCTGCAGGTACATCCAGTGGACACGGCTTTTTCATGCCTTCAGATATGGGGAATTAACTGAGAAGTGTTAGTAGCGTTTTCCTTCTTTAAAATTTAACATCAAATGATGGAAATTTGGTAGCCTCTCCTCCTTTCCTTCTCACGTTTTATAGGGTCAGAATTATAAAGGTTGGGAAAGCCCTTTTAGGTCATTAATGCAGCACTGCCAAGGTCACCGCTATACCATGTCCCCAAGTGCCACATGCACAAGTTTATTGAACACTTCCAGGGATGGTGACTTCACCATTGTCCTAGGCAGCCTGTGCCACTATTTTCCTTTAATGCACACTGTTAAAAACATCCACATTTTGCAAGTCCCGCTTCGGTTCCCCTCACGGAGATAACTCGGGACTGGGCTCGCTGCCGGATCCCCTCACGGAGGGGCCGGGCGGGGCTCGTTCCTGGTTCCCCTCACGGAGGGGCCGCTTCCACCTCACGGAGGTGCAAGGCGGCTCACGGCAGCCCCGGTCCCCCTCACGGAGGGGCCGGTTCCCCTCATGGAAGTGCAAGGTGGCTCATGGCAGCCCCGGTCCCCCTCACGGAGGGGCCGGTTCCCCTCATGGAAGTGCAAGGTGGCTCATGGCAGCCCCGGTCCCCCTCACGGAGGGGCCGGTTCCCCTCATGGAGGTGCAAGGTGGCTCATGGCAAGGTGGCTCACGGCAGCCCCGGTCCCCCTCACGGAGGGGCCGGTTCCCCTCACGGAGGTGCAAGGCGGCTCACGGCAGCTCCGGTTCCCTTCACGGAGCGGCCGGGCGGGGCTCGAGCGCGGCTCCCGGCCCCGGCCGCGCCGTTGCGGCGGTGCCGGTAGAGGGCGCGGGCGCGGCCGTTCCGCCATGGCGGATTACGAGGCGGTGCAGCGCGGCCCGCTGCGGCTGAAGGGCAGCGGCGGGGCCCTGGGGGCCGGCAAGCGGTGAGGGGCGATGGGGGGAAGCGGGGGAGAACGGGGGGCGGTGAGGAGGGGCCGGGAGAACTGGGGGCGAAGAGGGGACATACAGCCCCGGGGATGAGCGCTGACCGGGCGCTCCCCGCAGGAAGAAGAAGAAGGCGAAAGACAAGGCCCAGATCCTGGAGCAGATCGTGAGCAGCAAGAAGCAGGAGGAGGAGAAGAAGCGCGGGCTGGACAAGCGGACCCCGGCGCAGGTGGCCTACGAGAAGATGCAGGAGAAGCGGGTAAGGCTTTAAAAACCCCCGTGAACCCCGGGGTGCGGCCGCTGAGGGGGCTGCGAGTAACCGGCCCTTCTGTGTCTCCTACAGCAAATGGAGCGGATCCTGAAGAAAGCATCGAAAACCCACAAGCAGCGAGTGGAGGTGAGCAAACCCATCCCGAGTTCCTCAGGCCAGCGTGTTTATTGTTGGGCTGAAGGAGCTGTTCCGCCTTGTCAAAGGCAAGCCGGGACGTAGGGGAGGTTGTGGTTCAGCTTGGTAATGTCAGCACCCGTTTTCTGTCTCTTTTCCTCCCCCAGGACTTCAACAGGCACTTGGATACTCTGACTGAGCATTACGACATTCCCAAAGTCAGCTGGACTAAATGACCGGGCTGCTTTTCACGGCTCTGGAGCTGGACTTGTGTTTTGTTTGTATCAAGCAGGGTTGCCGTGTAAATCTTGTCTTTTCTCCATATTGTCTAATACATCATTTGAGCTTTTATGACTTTATACTGTCTTATTTTATAGACTTGTTTTTTCAAACCAAACATGCAGCAATGTCTCCCCTGGGCTGAGGAGCTCTGGTTTACGTCGATGCAGAGGGCTGGTTTTTCTTAGTGTTTATAGTGAGATTAAGGCCAAAACTAATTGCTGGGAGCCAGATGGAAAACATTCCTATATTTCTTTGGTTCTAACAGTTCTCCCTCTTTGAGGTGAAGAGTCTGACAGGCTCACATTATTTAAGTTTCTCTATTAAGTTATGTGAATTGTGTAATTAACTATCTATCAAGTTCTGTCAGAGGCCACATTGCAAAATGTGAAATATGTAAAATTGTTTTACCGAAGGATATTCTTTGATATTTGATCTTTGTATACTTTCAAGCCTAACCAGCAAGAAGGGAGGTTTAATCCATGGAATAGAGAGCAGCCAACAAGCTCTGAGTGATGTCCAAGTTTTGATAGCTGATGTGCTGGATTTCTGGGATCCCACCGAGCATCCAGGCTTGTGCAACTCTGAAATAAATAATCAGCGTGTCTCTCGAGTGTGTAATTACTGACTTGCTGTGCACCGGGTACTCAATCCGATTTTTGTGGAAAACAGAATCATTTCTATCTTGAGTATCAACAGTATCATTTCTATCTTGAGCTCTCTCAGAGGGGTCTGCTGCAACTTGTAAATTCGATGTAATTTATTAAAACGCTGCTTTCATCCCTTTTTTTGGTGTGCTGATAAACGCATGAAATGGGGAGTGTGGAGTTCGATCCTTACCCCTGCAGGGATGACATGTATAATAACGTTCCAACTCCTAAGGCGCCGCTAAAACCGGGATATTGCTTTTAACCCGAATGACGTTCCGAGCCCTGGTGCTCAGCGCGTGGCCGAGCTCCACCTCACCCTGGGCGGGCCCCGGCCCCGGGGCCGTCCCAGCACTACCGGGACTCTTTAACGTGGCCGTTCTCTCGCGGTGTCCCTCCGCCGCCCGGCGCGTATCGCTGCGCGCGGCCCGTGCCGTCACTTCCCGCGGAAGCGGAAGCGGAAGGCGCGCGGGACGCGGCCCGGCCGGGGCGATGTCGGCCAGCGCCGTCTATGTGCTGGACCTGAAGGGGAAGGTGAGGCCCGGAGCCGAGCGGGGGTTCCGCTGCTCCTGGGAGGGCTGCGGGGGTTCCGCTTCCCCGGCTGCCAGCCCCGGGTTAGCCCGGCGGGCACAGGGGAGTGTGGCCTGTAGCCCCTCGCCTGTAGGGGTGTTGGGCGAGGCGGCATCCCCGGCTAATTCATCTCTGCCGGCGTTTTGCCTCAGAGCAGTTGCGTGTTTTCCTATCCTAAAATCGTTGTGAGAGTGTGAGCAGGAATAGGGGAGGGTCTGGGAAATATTCATACATGACTTTGCACTTAAATGTTGGTATTCGCGTTTTAATCGGCAGAGTATTTCAGCATTGTGGTTTGCACGTGTAAATGCAGGCAGGCTCGAGGGAAGCTGGATGATTTTACAGGGGCCTTTCACGCATTTGTGTGTCTTGCATAAGAACGTCCTCATGGAAGAGAAAAAAGAAGGATTTGGTTGCTTTCTTTGTAGGTTCTGATCTGTCGGAATTATCGTGGAGATGTGGACATGTCAGAGGTGGAACATTTTATGCCAATCCTTATGGAAAAGGAAGAAGAGGGGACACTTTCTCCTATCCTAGCACACGGGGGAGTTCGTTTCATGTGGATTAAACACAACAACCTGTATCGTATCCTTTGTGCTGCAGATGTGCTGACGTGCCAAGGGCTGCTGGTTTGGGTTTTTAATGTCAAAATGCAAGCTGGAGAATGGGTGAAGTGGTACAAAAAGCCTATATTCAGTAAAGTTAGTTATATTAAATAAGGGCTTTTTGTGCTTTACTTAGTGTAATATGCACCAGCAGCAAAAGGTCCAGAAAAGTTTTAATTTTACCCTAATTAATGACTTCCTGAATGTTTATCTTTATATCTCTTTAGATCATATCTACTGTTAAGTAGTTAATGCATAATTCCTCTAGGCAACTCTATTTGCCTAAAATTAGGCTTTTTAAAATGCACTTAGTAAACTTTTTTTAAAATGCACATTCCTGAACATCCTTCATCAGTTGTTGCAACTTCTAAGAAAAATGCTTGTGTATCACTGGTGTTTTCATTTTTATATAAAGTAGTTCAGGTGAGTATGATTCAAAAGTAACATTTGTGTTCTGTCTAGATAGAAGCGCACAGAGCTTTCACATTTTTAAAGAACTTCAACAATAGCGTTTTTACTTGATATTTGAGTGTTTTTCAGAACTACCTGATAAGGGCACTGATGTTTTGTAGCTGTGTAGGCAGAGGATGGGGCACAGTGCTGTAATAGTTACACAAGAGCTGAGCACCTGGAGGAGATTGTGAATTGGTGCATGAACCAAACACAGATCCTGTTCTTGGTTCATCTGTACCTGTTGAGAAAAATACTTTCTCCAGAATAAATATTTTTCATAATAGTTTCTTCTAGGATTCTCTGTATGTGTTTTAATTGTGGTGGTTTCCTGGGGCTGATCTGAGCAGAATGCTGTTTGGGAAGGAAGGGGTTGGAACTTTACAAGATTATTATTTTAGATGCAGGAATTCCTTCTGCATGTGCTGTGCTGCCTCAGTTAATGTCCTTCTCCCTCTCCCTCTTCTTGTTGCATTTCAGGTTTTTTCTGAATATTTCAAGGAGTTGGAAGAAGAGAGCATTAGGGATAATTTTGTTATTATTTATGAGTTGTTAGATGAGCTTATGGATTTTGGTTATCCCCAAACCACTGATAGTAAAATTTTACAAGAGTAAGTATCACTGAACAGTAACAAAGGAATGTTTTGACCCTTTTTTCATAGGCAAACAAATGTTTCAATGTGTTCTAATTATCAAAACCATTAATGTTCTTATTTTTCCATGCCAATTCTCTGGTTGTGAAGGTACATCACTCAGGAAGGCCACAAACTTGAAACTGGAGCCCCACGCCCGCCTGCCACTGTTACAAACGCTGTTTCATGGAGATCAGAAGGGATAAAATACAGGAAAAACGAGGTGTTCCTGGATGTCATAGAGTCAGTTAACCTTCTGGTGGGTGCCTTGTAGTTTAGGTTTTGTGTGAGAATTGTAGGAGGAAGTGTTAAAAAAGGCTTTTTGTATGAAAACCTGCAATAGAAAGTCTGACTGTGGAGGGTGGGCTGTGACACTCAAAGCAATGTCATCATTAAGTTCCCCTAAGGAAATCCAGTACAAATACTGCTTTAATTGTGTGTACTGCTGATTTTTGGATGTGTCCTTTGATCCTCTGCCTGTGCTGCTTCACGTCCCTGATTTAATTCACTCTCCTGGATTAATTCTTCATAAGAAACACATCCAAGAAATCCCAGGGTAGAGGGATGGGGTGGGAGTGTTTCTGGATGTCACAAGGTCCCCCATCAGAGATGTCTTACCTTCCTCTTCCTCTTTCTCCAGGTCAGTGCCAACGGGAACGTGTTACGGAGTGAGATAGTTGGATCCATTAAAATGAGAGTTTTCCTCTCGGGAATGCCAGAGCTGCGCCTTGGGCTGAATGACAAAGTTCTCTTTGATAACACAGGCCGTGAGTGTTAGCACCATAATCATCACAGATGCTGTCTGGAGTCTTGAGGTTTGGGATCACAGAATCATGGAGGTTGGAAAAGCTCTCTGAAATCACAAGGTCCAACTGCTGAGCAGCACCACTGTGTTCAGCACTAAGCCATGTCCCCAAGTGCCACATCCACAGGCCTTCTGGACACTTCCAGGGGTGGTGACCCCACCAGTGCCCTGGGCAGCCTGTGCCAATGCATGGCCATCCTTTCAGTGAAGAAATGTTCCTAAAATATAACCTAAACCTCCAGTGGCACAACCTGAGGCCGTTTCCTCTTGTCCTGAGCTGAGTTGCCTGGGAGCAGAGCCTGACCCTCCCCAGCTCCATCCTCCTGTCAGGGAGTTGTGGAGAATGAGAAGTCTCCCCCTGAACCTGCTTTGCTCCAGGCTGAGTCCCCCCAGCTCCCTCAGCTGCTCCTTGTGCTCCAGCCCCTTCCCCAGCTCCGTTTCCTTTTCTGGACACACTCCAGCCCCTCAATGTTGTTGTGGAGGGTCCAAAACTGATCACAGGATTCTAGGTGCCTCAGCAGTGCCCAGCACTGGGGGACAGCCACTGCCCTGATCCTAGGAATTGGCTGAAAGGAAGGAATGTCAGCAGGCAGCAGCTGTGCTCTGGTGAGATTTGGGCCATGGCTTGTGTGACCTGTGTGTTTTCTGCTAGGTGGGAAAAGTAAATCAGTAGAACTGGAAGATGTGAAGTTCCACCAGTGTGTCCGTCTGTCTCGCTTTGAGAACGACCGGACCATCTCCTTCATCCCACCCGATGGAGAGTTTGAGCTCATGTCCTATCGCCTCAACACCCACGTGAGTCTGGATCTCTGCTTCTTAAAATGAAAATGGCTTAGATTGTAGCCACAAGAGCTTTCCCTTCTTTTTTTTTTTTCCTCTTAAAACATGGGCAGCACATGGGTTTTTGGGTCAACTGTTAATAGCAAAACTTGGTGCTTGCTCCTTCTGGAGGAAGGAAGTTTAGATTTCACTTAGAAATAAATCTCTGGATTTTCAACTGCTGTTGAAACCTATTTTTGAAATACTGTGTTTTTAATCTAACTACACAATGTCAGTGTAACAATTCATTGTGCTTGTTAACAACAGTATTTATGCCACTTAGTTTGATTGGAGTATGCCAGCCATGGTGATAAAGAAAAGTCAAAAAATTCAATCTAGACAAGGTCTATAGCAAAGAAATAGTTCAGTCCCTAGTATGTAAAACTATCAAATATTTTCTGATGCAAGTGTTTGTTATTAGGGATTAATCTGAGACATATATTTTTAAGCCTATAATTCTTGTACATTTGATATATATGTATATCAAATGTACAAGAATTATAGGCTTAAATATATATATATACACATATATACACATATATACACATATATACACATATATACACATATATACACATATATACATATACACATTCTTGATATATCAGTGCTTGCTCACCTGTATAATTATTTCTTTAAAAACCACAATTCTGTCATTTTGAGTACCCCAGGCTGCATTTTCTTTCTGGTTCACATATTGAGTGTAGTATTAAGGGAAAGCAACATTTTGGTGCCTCTGTCAGAGTAAAAACTCAGAGCTGTGATGTGTTTTTCCACCACCAGGTCAAGCCCCTGATCTGGATTGAATCTGTGATTGAGAAACATTCCCACAGCCGCATCGAGTACATGATCAAGGTCAGACATCCTTTCATAATTATGGCTAATTTTAGTCTTCTTTTGTTTGTTTTCAAAGCTTGTACATTTTTGTACAAGTATTCAGCATTTCTGTGGGGCTGAGACACCTTTGAAGACTTCATTTGTCAGTTATGATCTCAGTTCCAGTTCTGGTTCTCAGGACAGGTTGGGGTGGAGGGGAGCTGTGTGTGTCTCACAGCTCTCTGAGCTCACCAGCATCATGGAAATACTTAAACTCTGCTTTTCTGCTTTATTTTTTTTCTTTTTTAGGCAAAGAGTCAATTTAAGCGTAGATCAACTGCCAACAATGTGGAGATTCACATCCCAGTTCCAAATGATGCAGACTCGCCAAAGTTTAAAACCACTGTTGGAAGTGTCAAATGGGTTCCAGAGAACAGTGAAATTGTCTGGTCCATTAAATCTTTTCCAGTAAGTGTTATTTTTTTACTCTTACCACCAAAGATTGTAGTAATTACTTAACACTAAGAATTCCATTCACATTTAAACTCTGCCTAAAGCAAATCCTGTCGGTATCTGACAAGTAGCAGTGGACTCTTCTTCCTTTTCCA